AGATAATGGTATGTAGTGCCATATTTTCAGTAAAAAACATTATTCTGCAGATAAAAGACTAAAAACAATGCCTTCTAATTCTACCTGAGGCAATAACTATAAGCAAATAATAGAAGAAAAAGAAAAAAAAGGTCTATCATAATACAGAATGTTCAAATGGAAAGATCACAGAATCACAGTGTGGCCAGGGTTGGAAAGGACCTCAGGGATCATGAATCTCCAACCCCCTGCTGCTTGCAGGGCCACCAACCTCCCCATTTAATACTGGACCAGGCTGCTCAGGGCCCCATCCAGTCTGGCCTTGAACATCTCCAGGGACGGGGCATCCACAGATCCACAGCCTCTCTGGGCAGCCTGTTCCAGCACCTCACCACTCTCTCTATAAAGAACTTTCCCCTGACATCCAACCAAAATCTTCCCTCCCTCAACTTAAAACCACTTTCCCTTGTCCTGCCATTATCTACCCTTGTAAAGAGTTGACTCCCTTCCTGCTTATAAGCTCCCTTTAGGCACTGAAAGGCTGCAATAAGGTCACTTCACAGCCTTCTTTTCTCCAGGCTGGACAAGCCCAGCTTCCTCAGCCTGTCTTTGTAGAGGAGGTGCTCCAGCTCTCTGATCATCTTCGTGGCTCTCCTCTGGACCCTCTCCAACAGCTCTCTGTCTTTCTTGTACAGGGGATTCGAAACCTGGACACAGTATTCCAGATGAGGCCTCAGAAGAGCCGAGTAGAGGGGGACAATCACCTCCCTGTCCCTGCTGGCCACCCCTCTTCTGATGGACCCCAGGATACCATTTGCTTTTTGAGCTGAAAGAGCACATGGCTGGCTCATGTTAAGCTTTTCTTCCATCAAGACCCCGAGGTCTTTCTCTACAGGGCTGCTCTCAAGGATTGCTCCTTCCAGTCTGTATAAATGCCTGGGATTCCTCTGCACCTTGCACTTTGTTGTGTTGAACGTCATTAGGTTCACCCAGGCCACCTTTCAAACCTGTTGAGGTCCCTCTGAATGGCATCCCATCCTTCTACTGTGTCAACCACACCACTCAGCTTGGTGTCATCAGCTGAAGGTGCACTCAATTTCATCACTGATGTCATTGATAAAGAGGTTAAAGAGCACTAGTCCCAAGACAGACCCCTGAGGGACAACGCTCATTACTGGCCTCCACCTGGACATTGATGACCACCCTCTGTGTGCAGCTTTTCAACCAATTTCTTATCCATTGAGTGGTCCACCCATCAAATCCACATCCCTCCAATTTGGAGATAAGGATGTGGTGGGGGACCATGTCAAACACCTTGCTCAAGTCCAGGTAAATGACATCAATCGCCTTTCCCTTGTCCACCAATGCTGACAATCCATCATAGAAGGCCACCAGATTGGTTAAGCACTCAGAACTGCAGAATGGGATAAGAGTACAGGAGAAATGTAGGAATTACCATACTATTTTAATCTAATTTTCTGTTCAATCTCTGTTTGAGGTCTCAAAGATTGTCTGCCTTAACAAGTAATAGAGCAAAATCAGCAGATAAAGCTGAGGTTCCTGTGTTTCCTTTGTATTTGATTCAAGTGCTATATTTCAGATTAGATTTTGTCTAGGCTCCTGGACTAGCTGTTCCATTACCCATTTTTGAAGAAAAGTCTGTCTGGGATCTATCTGCTTCCTGTCTGATGAGAGCCACATCCATGCTGCATGCTTAGGAGTAGGTTGTGTGGGATAGGGCTATGTGCTTTAAACAGTTGAGCCTTTGATAGTATATGAACAATTGTGAAACCAGAAAAGCTTCTTCTGGTCTTTTTGTCATCCATTTTCCCTTCTTTGGTTGGGGGGGTGGGGGAAACCAGGTCCCCAGCAGCAACTTTGCAAGGCTCTTGTTTCACCCAAGCACTTTCAGAGGCAGCTGATCCACTCTTTCTACTGGAAGGTGTTGTTATTTTGATTGTGCTTTCCTAGTACTTTTTTGACCTTTCCTGTGTCTGAACTTGTGGCTTTGTCTTCCTCTGCTAATCTCTCCATAAAATCACCTCCACCCATTTGCTGTCTTGGAGTTTCTGCCCTCACAGACATTGCCTGGTTGTACTCTGGCAAGCATAAAGCCTTGAATCTGCTTGAACCTGCTCAAGGAAGAGGGTGTGCGAGTTTTTATATTTTATTTTATTTTATTTTATTTTATTTTATTTTATTTTATTTTATTTTATTTTATTTTATTTTATTTTATTTTATTTTATTTTATTTTATTTTATTTTATTTTATTTTATTTTATTTTATTTTATTTTATTTTATTTTATTTTATTTTTATTTTTTGAAGAGCTACCAAAGGAGAACTGGCATAACAAGGAGGCTGAAGAGCTTCCATGCAGGAAATTGGATGTGGAGGAAAGCCAACTCCAACTAACACTGCTTTAAGAGCAGTGATTGTGGTCACTGTGTTTTCAGCTTTGAGGAAGTGATCATATATGCAGACTTGAGAAGTGAGTCCATGTGAATCTAATGAGACTCACTAAGGCTAAGTGCAAGGTTGCAGCAATTGCAGATTTGTGTACAGACTGGGAGAAGAATTCACTGAAAGAAGACCTGTGGACTTGGGGGTCCTGCTGGAAAAAAGCTGAACATGAGCTAGGAGTGTGTTCTTGCAGCCCCAAAGGCCCACTGTATTTTGGACTGCATCAACAAAGAGTGGTGGCAGAAGGGAGAGAGATAGATGATTGTCCCCCTCTACTCTGCCCTCTTCTCATCTGGAGTAATGTGTTTAGATCTGGGGCCCCCAGTGCAAGAAAAATGTACAGTTGTTGGTATGGTGTGCTGTCAGTGCTTGTTGGCCCTTGTTTCCTGTCAGCTTCCTCTACTACAAAACACAGATGTTGTTAGTAAATTGAAGAGCTATTAACATTTTTTGAATGATTTTTTTACTTCTTCCACCCTATATTTGTGCATATAGATAAATATGCTGGTGGAGGGAGAGATTTAAATTCCTTTGTGGTTTCTGGAGAACTCTCACTGCAGCCTGAGGAGCTTCTACAGTGGGGATACGTCTATTAAGTATCACTCCAAATACATGACAATTAGCATAGATTGAAAAGCTGAACAAATTAGCTTTGGAGGAAGAATGAGAATGAACTTGAGCTGTGATTTAGGTTAGGTTAGAACTGAAGCTGATTGAGAGTTCTTAATACTTCTTTGTTATATTTTTTAATTGACCAAAGGTGCGCCAACAGAACAGAACCATGATGCCTTTTGATATACTGTAAAAGATGTCCCAGATGTACACTGGGGAGGTAGAGAGATGGTGAGGATGCAGCAATATTGATAAGATCTTGATTGCTAGGATTCATGCACTTGGTATAGATTATCAAAAAATCCTTAGTTCTGGTTGCTATACTTCTAGATTTACTTTGTGGTGTAAGATGTGTCATGTGATGTAACTGAAAGGTGCGCTATTGCTTCTGTAATTCATAAGTTCTAGGATGCTCTTTTTGCCTGTGATACGTATCAAAAAATTAAAAATAAAAGTTTAAGAGAAGTTAATAATTGATGTAAGCTTATGCATGCATTTATAAGATTGTCTTGATTTCTAATAAGATTGGCATGGACAGGGATGCTTATCCTATACGGAGGCTGAGTATAGGCAGACCTTTTCTCTTTCCCCACATTAGAGTTGCAGGAGATTATTTGTAAATTTAAGTATTTAAGTATTCTGACATTATTGACAGAGTCATGGAAAACAGCCACTCTTAGATGTACAAATAAGTTAGTAATGTGCTGTTAGATATGTGGACTGTGCAATGTATCTTTAAAAAGCACATAATTAGTTTTGATTTCAAATGTGATTGGTGAGATCTGAAAAGAAGTGGTGAATCCTGGAAGCCAGCAGCACCTATGAGTCCACTGAATTAAATAGGTTTCACTGTTGTGTGACAATAACATCTGTACTATTTAACAGACCTTCTAAATAAGAGGAACCCTACATCTCTGTTGACAGTTTAAATTAATCTTAATATATTATGAGAATTAAAAATCGTTATCTTGTCCTTGTGCTGTGAGGCTTGTTATAAAGTCTACAGCTAAATGTACATTAAAGAAGCTGCAATTAACTTCCCTGGATGTAAATCAAATAAGCTTTAAGATTTATGGTACTATTGGAAATTTTTGTTGCATAAACATGGTTCTACTTTTGGTGCTTTGAGTAACACCCAACACAGTTGGTTCATATACACAAAAAAAAGCAACCAAAAAAAAGCTATATCAGCTTAGGAATAGAACTGTTTTTGCTGCTGCTTCCATCCCAATCTACCTGTTGAAGAATAAAGATGTTGGGTTATGTATCTGTTTGAAAGCTTATTTGTTCATTTTGGTGAAAATTTTGCATCTTATTATTATGTAGTTTGTTCTTTCATGTGGAATCTGGGCTTGTCTTCTGTAATTTAAACCAGCAGAGGGTTTTGATGAGATGGTTTAAAGTACATTCTTTTAATAGATGTTCTTGCTGAACTGATAGTGAGGATAACTGACAAGGGTTGAAGATCTGTTCACGAAGTGAGCTGGGAATCTTGGAAATACCATAAAAAGCAGTAGGTAACCATGCTCCTGAAAGCTGGATTCTAACTCACGTATCCTATCCGACAGAGGACCTAGCTAAAGCTTATTCATTATTCAAATTGAATTATTTTTCTAATATTTGGTCTTTTCATTTTCAAACTCTGAAGTTCTTGTTAGGAAGAGTGTGGCAAGAGAGGGCAATTTCGGCACCAGCTTTTTTACCTTGGTCAAGACTTCAGTCCTAATTGAAAAAGCTTCCTAGGTGAGACAGAACATATTTCTGAATCACAAAAGCACCTTATCCATGCAACCATGCTGGGAAAGAAATCCTAGGTGGGTGTTCCAGCTTTGTGCCCTCTGGGGAATGGAGCCAGTCCTGTCATAGTTCTAGGATCCCAGACTTGACTTTAAATTTAACTTTTTCTAAAGTAATTATTTATTCTTGTTCTACTTATGGTTTGCAACAGGAAGGAGAAAATATTTTCTATCTTGCTGTGGACGATATTGAAACAGACACAGAACTTCTGATTGGTTACTTGGACAGTGACATGGAAGAAGAGGAGGAGGATGAGGAGGAAGTAACTGTTATTCAGGAAGATGAAGACAGTGGCAACAATAAAGAAGTGCAACCAGCCAGTGAAAAGATTGCAGGTGAGCAATATGTGAAAACTAGTATAGCTTGGGAGCTTAAAATATAGTCATAGGTAGTGTAATATTGCAAGTTGGCTAATAAGATTAAAAATCTAAGAAGCCCTTGATAATAAATATTGAGTATAATGCCACTATTAATACTAGTATGCAAGAAAGGAGGCAAGATGGTTTCAAAAATGTGCAAGGCTATAACTCTTAAGTATTCTTGTATTGAAGACTAGCTCAAAAAGTAAAGACAGGGTAAACGAGCTGAGATTTTACATAGCTGATTTACTATAATCTGTATTCAGTTAACTAAGCATCTTCCTTTTGGAAGAAGAAAATCTTGTTAGGTAATGTAAACCTGTACAGATTTGGAGAGTTGAAAATAAGTGGTATCTGTGGCAGGAGGAGTTAAAAGCAGTGTCATTCATGATGCTGAGAAGTTGATGGGATATGGTGACTCTGAATTTGCTTGTTAGAGGAAGGGCAAGTAGGTCTGTTGCGTACTGTGTCACATGAGTGTCATACTGAAAAGAGTATGGGCGAGCATTGTCCATCAGTGATTGATTCTGTCCTCTTGCAACTAACATCAGCTAAGATGCATTACATTATGCAAGTTCTCCTCTTAACACAGAACTAATATAGTGCAATTATTTCTTATGTCACTTTCACAGATGGCTTTGTAAGATGTCTTGTGCTAACTGTAAAACTTTTATAAACTTTTTAAATATTATGCTAACTGCAAGCTTGTCTTTTTAATATTTTGAATCAGTCTCACTTGGAACTTTGATATAGTCATAGTATGCCAGGATTAGAAGTGATAATGTTTGTTCCAAGCTATATAGATTTGTATTCTGTATTTGCTCACAAAAATTATGGGAGAGGATGTGAGACAGTTCCCTGTAAGGAAAAGGTTGTTAATGTGAAGTCTTTTTGTTTTCTTTAAACAGAATTTGCTTAAAATAGATTTGCCTTGCATCCTGGTTCAAAGTGAATCTAGAATCACTAACTCAGAAAAGTATGTCTGCATTGTATCTAAGCAGTCTACAGAGATGGTAGTTTCTGCCCCTCCTAGAGCCTGCATAACAGGAGAATCAACTCATATTAGACCTTTATTTTGTAATATGAAGAAGTCTTTAAGCAACTGCTGAAGTGAATAAGGGTGCACAGTTAAACCTGTGGTTAAAATCTTTACTGTTGTCAGATGCCTTAAGTAGGAAAGAGCATAATTTGCATAAGTATTGGCATTAAATGCCTATTCTTTTTTTTATTTTCTTTTTTTTTCTGGCATTTTGGTTATTTAGTCCGTTGAAAGACATAGTCTCTTGTGAATTTCATGACGCTGTTGTGCATAATCAGTTTCCATAAAGGAGTATCTCTTAACATAACCAAAATACTCTTGAAAGTATTACTGTTTTCTCCTCCAATCATTCAGATTCCCTCACTTGTAAAGAGGACCATGCATGCCCAAACTGTGAGTCCAGTTTTGCAAGCCAGGAGATTCTAGCTGAACATCTTCAGACATTGCACCAAAAACCCAGTGAGGAAAAGGAATTTAAGTGCCGAAACTGTGGAAAGAAGTTTCCTGTTAAACAAGCTCTACAAAGACAGTAAGTAGAAACAAGAATGTTTTTCAGAGTTCCTTTTCATTCAATTGTTTATATCCTTTGGCTTAATCACAACAATTTTTATGCCTTTGTATTTGTATTCTCATTCTTCTAATAAATTCCTAATATGTTAGTATCTTGTATTTGTTGAAGACTTCAATTTGAATTAAAAAATGTCACTACTTTTTAATATTTTCAAATCATATACTGTAAGCCCAATTAAAGCTACTGATTGGTGCGAAGCCCTTGATCTCCATCTCGAGTGGGTTATTTAATAGTGTAGGAGGTCTGTTATAGCTGGAATTGCCATTACTGAATTAGAATGAGATTTAGAAAAAAAAATGAACGATATTCTAAAAAGAAATAGGAAAAGCTATACTTTATTTTGATTTAATTAAATATTTGGATGAAAAAAAAAACATAGCAGATAGGTAGTCTGACATGCTTTTATACAAAAATATAGCCATTTTTTTTCTTTTCTTGTTTATGTATATAAATTTGCTTGCAATTAAATAGTTATATTACTTTTTATTATATATTCAATTATAGTAGTACATTGTATGTCCAAATATCTTGTTATAAGTAGTTCATTTAATCCGATTCATGTCAGAAAGAGACTCATATTGCATTGTGTATTACAAGACTTTTTCTTATGTCTGAATAGCAATAATGTTTGTTAAATTGGTAGTTCTTTATGAGCTCTATGTTCCTTCATGGAAATAGTTAAAAAAAAACATAGTAGAGAAATATTTAAGTTATCTAATAGATATTTAAATATTTTTTGTAATTGAATATAGACATGTTTTGCTCAGTCTGAAGTGGGAGTTGGATTTATATTGTATAGCTGGTTAAATAAATCTTTATATTATGCAGAGTAAAATTATAAGGATACAGCAATAGGACTACAACTCTTGATGTTCATGCATTTGATTAGTCTCCCTAAATTCCAGGATACCTCTCATGTTGCACTGGTTACTCACATACCAAAATGTTTGTATTTTGATCTATTGCTGCTTCAATTCTGTGTAAGTTGTAAAATGGTCCCCTTACTTTTATTTTATTTATTTTTTTTCTTTAGTGTACTTCAGTGCACAGAGAATATCAACCCAGGAGACTCTTCAAGAAGTTTTCAGTGTTCTGTTTGCAATACTTCCTTCAGCTCAGAATCGAGGTTTTGTGTCCAAGTTACTGGACTGCTGTCATACCATTGCTGGCCTCCCTTTGCATGTTAGCTTTCAAGCTTGTTAGTGTATGTGAATCCTAACAATGAAAGAAGTCAAATGCTTTCATTCTTATTTGCTGTAAGTAATGCATGAGGTGGCCTTGGAACTCTGCAGTGCAGCATGTCTAGAGCTCAGAGTACTTACTATATGTCTAGTTTCTGCATATACTGCTTCATGTGTTATTTTTATTTGCTGGTTATCCCATATAGTTATGAACAGCACAAGGAGGCATGCAGAGGGGATGCCAGATTCATATGCAAGGCAGATAGCTGCGGGAAGAGGTTCAAGAGTAAGGATGCCCTGAAAAAACATAAAGAAAATGTTCATAGTGGTAAGAAAGAATTTAATGTTTCTTTGGCAAAAACATAAAAACCAAAAAAGTTCTAACATGTTGCTAGCCTTAAATGTGCAAATCCAAGTCACCATGGTCTTTGGTTTCTTTTTTAATGGATTCATTTGTATCAAAAAGAAAATTAAATAGTAACTAATTGCAAGGATAAAGTATTCCTTCTCACCCAGGGAGAAATTACTGTATACCAGATGAATCATTAGTTGCTGCAGGAAACGTAAGGGAATCTGGGTAAGTTTGAATTAGACAAGTGTTAGATGAAGCGCAACATTTCAGTAGTGAGGAAAATCAAAATCAGTGGTACAAATGACTACAGGAAGCTGTGAGTTCTTGATCTTTTGCTATTTTCAGGACACAATGGGATGTCTTTCTGGAAGACATGCTTCACAAATGGTTAGACTTGATGAGGATATTGCAGGAAATTCTATAGCCTCTGTTGTACAAGAAGCCAAATCAGGCAATCGGCTAGTCCCTCTAGGCCCTAGCTGTTTTATATCTGTGCACTGTGAATCAATACTTTTCAATCAAACACCAGTCTGTTTTCATGAAAGGGCAAAATGCTTCTTTCAGGTCCGCAATGCAGATCTCAACTGTCACTCTGCTCTCTCTGCATGTCCCCTCTCAGTGTCACTGGCAGATCAGTATGTATGGGGACAGTAGAATACTACAGTGTGAAGAAAACAGTCTTTACTTGATGAGAACACTGAGATGCTTTGTAAGATTTTCATTACATGAAGTCTCTTTCTTCTGCCAAACTCTTACAGTGTGTGGAAGCTCTTCCATAACAATTTTTATAGAAGTTTATCTAATTTTTTTTAAAATTTATTGTTGTCAATAAGGTATTTTTTCAGCTGTGAATGTTATGTTTAGGCTCAACTTCGGTTAGTTATATACAGGTATACAAATCCCACAATTACTCTCTTGTATGATCAGTCCAGACATGACTGAGGTCAGGCGCCTGGAGGATATTTTATTTCCACCTATATAGTGAGCAGAGCTTTTATTTTACCATTTGGGAGTCATAGAAATCACAACTGGTGTCAATACAGGAGGGAAAATAGCCTACTATTGTTGAGGGAGATTTCTAGTATTCCTTCACGCCTTGCAAAACCTGGAGGCAAGGGAAAGTAGAAAGGACTGCTACATATGTAGTTCATTATGCAAAGCTATGAACAGAGACATAGATATTCATTATCACCTTCCTCTTCTGAATGCTCTTGTAAGTTAAGGTATTAAGTTCCCATATTTATATGTGTATCAGCATATGCCAATACTTAAATTTTACAATAGCAAATGTAGTTATGAGATGAAGTACTTATGTAATACTATGAGTCAAAGTGTTGAACTGATTGACATGGTATAATGAAGTGAGAAACATACCTTGTATTATGTTTTCACAGTCTGCTCACTATGCATAGGCAGCTTTGCTCATGATTATTTCTCTTTCAGTCCTCTGATCCATTGTGGTAGTATGACCTGAGCTAGGCATACTGAGTTTACATTCAAAGTCTTTGAAATCCTATATGTTCTTGAAGCCTGCTATTAGATTCTTTCATTTCTTTGTACAAATATTTGTTGGAAATAAAATTCTTTACTTGGAAATAAAACTGTGGGCAGTAAAATAGTTTAGCAATGAATAACATTCTATCCAAATTCCTCCATTAACAGCAAGCTATGATATATCAAGATGAAATACATAACCTTTGTTTTCCAGTTTAGCTGCTTTAGTTTTAATCTTATCAATCATCAACAGTATGGAAACAATGAAGACTGAGACACGTTTTGCTAGTCTCAGAGGGCTTAGAAATGCTAATGTTTCTAGTTACAGCCCCCATGGGCCATTTGAGATTAGAAGTCATTTCAACATGTTTTAGCAAAATGTTGTGTGTGTATTTGCATTGAATTTTTAAAAAGTAGTTTTATTTTACCAACATAAATAATAAATACGTCTTGTTATCAGTGTCATTTGAAAGTCTGTACTTTTGCATGAGAAATTACTTTTCCTGAAGTGGTATGAAATGTTCTTTTTAAATTTGCAGTGTTTACATTCATGCACACTGTTGGCATCAATGGATGGAAAAAATGCCAGTTAGGAAGATATGTTATAGTTTCAGTTAGACAAAAGACCTTGTTTTCAACCTCTCATGTTAGTAAACAAAAGGAGCAATTTATCTGCTTGTATTGTATGCCAGCTAAGCGGATGTAGTTAACTATGACATCATTGTTCTTAAGTGAACCCAAGAAGAAGAGTTCCTTTATTCAGGGGCAATTCCTGGTGTCCTGAGTTATTTATTCTTTGGCCATTTCAGCAAAAATAAGTGATTTCCTTTTGATTGCATTTGAAAGTAGAAATTTGGTGTACACACTGCTCTGCAGCCACAGACTGCTGGTGTTCTTGCCTCATTTACTTAATACACAAAATTTTGAGTGCCCCACATGCATCTTGAGGTGAGGAATTTTTACTAACCATCTTTAATTGACTATTTTGTTTGTATGTAGGCTTTAATATATAGTCTAGAGCAGTACGTGATCTTATAGAGCTGTTTTTTAGTACTAAAATAGATGGGGAGAGAGATTATAATTATTTATAAAACTTACTACTTTGGAAGGGAAGACAAAAGTAAGGTGAAGCTTAATGTTTTCTTTCTGAAAATTCCTCCCAAGAAATAAAGTGGAAAAGCAAGTCATATCATATTAATTCTTTAGGACAGCAAGATTGGGAAAGATACACAATACCAAGAGTCTGAAAAGTAGAGCTGAAAACCATCGATGATTTTGATTAGGATCCAGTTCCTCTGTGCTTGAATAAACAATGCTTGCCTTTCTTTGGTTCTGAGTTCATTCTTTTTAGTGTTCAATGCAGTTTCAACATTTTTTCATATAAGCTGTGAAATATCTTGCATGAACGTATAATTATAAACAAATAATCAGGTTTGTGGTGTCTTTGCCTTGTAATAACATAACTTTGCAGGTTACTAATATAAATTTTAAATCATAGAGAAACCCAATTAAATGCTCTGTCAATTTTTAAAGCAACTGTGAAAAAGGAAGGAAAATATATTTGGTAGCTGACCACTTGTAGTTTGAATTGTGATATATATTACAAACTGCACTTGAATTCATGATCTGGTATAATACAAATTTCCTATCTTGTTCAGTTAAACACCATTAATGTATGTTATTTTATTCAGTAGCAAACTTAATGCTTTTTGAATAAAGAAAATTGGGAAATAGTTGTTTGGGATTTTTTTTTTTTTTTAATTTTTTTGTCACTGTTGCACTAACTTCTTTCAGGAACACTTCTATTAAAATTATAGTATACAGTTCTTGAAGATATTAGTTGTATTGGCTTCTGGAAGGATACAGCTCTTCAGTTCTAAAGTGAAATGCTCTTAGTTGTGAATTGTGCTCTTCATTCTTCGTACTGATCTACATTCCTTTAGTAACTGACGAGTTGGACACCCACAGAGAACTCCTGATACTGAATACTTTCAAGATGGGGTACAAATGTAAAGATCTTATGTCAGTGAAATGACCCATAAAAAGTCACAAGCTCAGTAGAAATATTTAGGTTCTTTCTTAGCACTTCCTTTTTAAGATGTTGGTGGTATTTTGTTTCTGTTTCAGGAAATTCTAGGAAAAAGCTGACGTGTTCAGTGTGCAATAAGAAATGTTCCTCAACAACAAATCTCCAAGAGCATCGAAAGGTCAGTAAGATGAAGGCTAACCCACAGCAGGCTTTGACTTCCCTGAGATGTAATACTGTGGTGCTTAGGTCACTTAAAAGATGCTGTAATGCAAACCCTTGGCAAGTATCTGTCGTGGTTAGAAAATCAATGTGTTTTGTGGTGGGTATTTATTTTTGTAATCACAGTTGATTACATCAAAAGTCTTTCTAGTGTTGCAGTGCATCTTTTACCAAATACAAAAATGTTTGTGCTTGTATTTTCTGTGGTTTTCAACATAAAGTCAAGTGTGCATGCTGTTCTTTAACACTAAGCTAAATGTAAATGTGTTATATAACTTCATGATACACACAGGCCTTAAAATAGGCTTGTGAGCCTTCAGTTTTTTGTGCAAAATGCATTCAGTCTTTCTTATTACCTTCTGACACAGCAGTAAGGTTATTATTTGTAATTTAGTTATGAGGTAGTTAAAAAAAAAAAAAGTGCTTCCTCAAAAAAAAAAAAAAAATTGCAGTGGTTTTTTGTTTTGTGTATTACCAGATCAGGAAGAGTTAACAGTTTTAAAAGCATCAATTGGAAATAAGGGGTTTCATACAGAAATGCAGATGGTCTAAGAATATGAGATTCTGAATCCATTATACCCAAAGGAAGTCCATGCAAGATTAATTTGATAAATCGCTAAAACCCATGAGATCCTGTTTTTGCAAAAAGCTGCATTTTACTGTTTATCAGATTAACTGTAAGTCTTTAATAATGTCTTGGGTACAACCTGAGTCCATTGAGGATATAGGTTATATCAATTAAAATATTTTGTTGCACAGGAAATGATGGGGCCTCTCCTTTTTTTCTTTAATTTATTTATTTACTTATTTTCCTTTTCCTGCTGCCCCCTTAATTGCGTTAACGTGCCTTGCATTCCTTGGCTAACAGAACTTCAATTTGTTCCTCCCCATACAAACTGTGATATGCCACGCCACTCATAACTACAGATTTTATATGTCATTGTGCCTTTTGATGGCCTCTGGGAATGTAAAATATCATGGGCAATGTGTTCATTTTATGAAAAGGTTTACTTTGGTTCTGCATAGTGCAGGCACTAGGACACAAGCTTCTCTTTTAAGACATCCAGAAAATAGATATTACAGTTTCACACATTTGTATTACATAGTGAAGGAAACTGCATGTAGGACTCATACCTTCTGTTGTTTGAACTACTTTGCTTTTGTATGAAGTATGTGTTATCAAAGATAGTTAGGTAAGAAAACAATAATTGAAATGGAGGGGAAACACTTTTTTCACCCAATTTCCTCTCAATATAGAGAAATAAAAATAGGAAGGAGGTAAAATATAACAGAAAATAAGTCTGAACCACTGATAGTTCTGACCGTCACAGAGAAAGAAGATAAAAAGGATGACTGGAGAGGAGAGTGAGATCAATTCACTCTGTGAAGGCTTGGTCAGTCACTTCTGTAGCTTTCATGTCATTGTTGATTTAAACTTATTTTAGCTTTGTGTGATTGCCCATTTGCTTCTGCCTTAAATGTCTAAAGATAAGACCTTTCTTAGCCATTCACAATTAAACTCTGGTGTCATGTTCAGTCCCTTAGTCTTACTGTTTTGTTTTCCAGACTGTTGCTTGTGCCACCCTAATCTTTGGTGGCATCACTTTTTTCTTTTCTTTTTTTTTTTTAATCACAATGCATTCAATGAAAGGTCAGGCTGAAAGAGATCCTAGAAAGTTTTTGTACCCTTTCTGCTCTGATGAAAAATTTACCACATCTGTTGTTATCTTTTTTAATTCTGTCTCGCAACTTAGGTGCCGTGAACTTTCTTGAAATGTGTCAAGTGTTTGGTTTCTTTCTTTTTTTTTTTCAGATAACTTTCTTAAATCTTCTTTGATACAAATTGATTTAATAACTCTCTTATCTCAGAGAATGCCAAGAAAAACTCAACGCTGTCATCTTTGTAACAGATTAGCATACTGTAAAATTCTTATGAACACCGTTTGTCTTTCCTGACAATTCCACAATTTCCTGACAATTTCCACAATTATCTGAACTTTTATTCATGCATCTGTTCTCCTGAACTATTTAGTTTTTGTAAGTATTCTCATCTTCTGCCCAAGGATGCCACAAAGGAGTTGTGATGCTTAGTTGAGCCCTTACAATTCCAGGTAGAGGGGAATGATTATCTTGAGATCATCCCTACTAAGAACATGTCCATTAATACATCTCAAAGTGGCAGTGCTTTTTGAACAGCAGAACCAAACTGTTTTTTCATTTTTTGGGGGGAATACATTATTATTCTCTTTAAGGTGCTAGGTAAACTCATTATCGTATGGCTTTCATTTCTTTGATTTCTCCACCCAAACATTTGAGTGTATTAGAGCTTCATTCAGAGCGTAGAAATAGTTTTGGACTCTTACCTTGAATTAGTGGTTGCTGTCCTACCCAGAACAGTCTCACATCATGGTTTTACTTCATATATGTTTTCCAAAACTACGTATGCTACTACAGCACTCATCCTGCATGGTGCTTGCAAATCTTTAACAGCACTTATTATATCAATCCACCAATATTACTGCTTGTTGAGGTCATCCATATCTTCTTATTTTCTTATTTTCCTTTTTGTCTATATCTACTTGTTTTCTTTTTGTATTGTCCTCCAATTGAAAAGTGGTGACCTTCTACCTGATATTTATTTTAGTCCATGATTTGGACTGCTAAATTACATAATAATGTAAAAAACAAACAAACAAACAAAAAAACAAAACAAAACAAACAAACAAAAAAAAAAACAAGAAAAAAAAAAAAGAATCCCAGCAACATTTGACTCAGCAAATGCACTACAGGAGCTTACAGTACACTGAGTAATGGAAGTGTTATAAAACATTATGTGAGATGCAGGATTGTACTTGACTGCTAAGACTTGTTGTGGAGTAGTGTCTTGGAGATAAATTGAGAGAAACAAGGAAAAGCCACTAGTTTTGTTCTAAGAGATTATATGAAAAAAACACCAAACCTTGACTCCTTCTTACCTTAGTGCTCTTTCTGTCTTACAGAGAGGGATTTCCTGCAAAAGTGTGCCAGGGAAAGTTGCACCTAAACATTCTCTGTGATTTTCTTTTTCATGCCTTTTTTTCTGTCTTTCTTCACCTGGCAGTTTCATGTCTCCCATTATTTTTTCTATCCTTTTTCATTTGAACACCAGCCAACACACTGTTTTTACTGTGCAGTCTTTGTCGTGATCACTGTAAAGTCACAGAAATGTAGTGAAAATCAAATGTCAAATACTATTTTAAAAATGTTGAATTGTGGAGTAATTTCAGTTGAATGCAATACGCTGGTATCTTTTGCTCTTTTAAAACTGTTTTCCAGAGCAGAGTCTTATCCAGTTCTTGGATTGGTAGACTGAAATTCCAATTAGTTTTTGGAAATGTTTATCATGGGTGACTTGTACCTTGAAAGTTTTACTTCATTTGCTTCCCCAAAGCTCCTTTGAATAACCTTTTGCTTTTCAGTTACCTTGTGAAAAGTTTAAGGTTGTTGGTCTTGCTAATGAAGGCATATATTTTTCTGAATAAACATTAATTTTGTTCACATGCTTGCTAGTTCCTGTAGCACCTAGCAAGCTGTTGTCTGAAGAGGAAGCTCTTCAAAGCTCTGTGAAATGATTTGTAAGGATGTTCTGACTGTAATTAAACTGATGTTTATGGTGATAGCTGTTACAGTCCCCTAATGGGAGTAATTTTGTTATACTAATAAATCTTTGTGCAATCACTTGTCTATAGTATTACAGGCTGACTGAATTTGCATAGTGTATTCATAAATACTTTACTTCACAAGTTTTCTTAATGAAAATTTGGTTGAACATTTTTATTCATAACAATATTTGCTGTATTTATATTTATATTATCTTTTACTGTTTTACTATGTATTTGAGTAGTTTTCTAAATAATTGATTGAAGAGTGATAGCTATAGATATATGTTTGATAACTGCAGCTATTTAATGCATATGCACATCAGACTGTGCCTGATTTCTGAAGAATTGATTAGAGTACTAGCTATAGAATATATATTTGATAGCTGTAGCTTTTTAATGTGTGCACACAAGCCTCTGTCTGAACACAGATATTTTCAGTGCGGCTATTTATAAAACTGGTCATAAATTAAAATCAGAAAGCTGGATAGAAGTACAGCACAACCTTAGGTTCTGATATGTTAAATAATAGATTTTAAGGTGCCTTACAAGTCATCTTGAATAGCACCAAAACATCGCTGTGCTATTAACACTTGCTAAGCTGAAACCAGGAGACTCTAGCAGAATTCTGATAGTACTAGAGTTAGTCTAAGCTTCAGTCAACAATCTGAGTCAAAATTGAGATAATTTTGGAAAAGGTAGAATAGTGGACTGTATATATCAACCTGTGATGCAGGTGGGTAGACAGGGTATTTCAAATGGCTGATTGTTATTTGAGTTTACCGCCTGGTTCTGGATAAGTATTTGGTTGAACATCGCTGTCCAAGGTATGCGAGTTTGTAGAGATTGTAGGAAACAGCACAACTACTTGTTAGAGCAAATTTTTTAATAAGCTAATGTTATGTTAGCATAGAACACAAGAGGTTCTTATGGAGAATTTCGTTGTTTTTTTGTTTGTTTTTTTCCTATGTTTGTTTTAAGTGGAAGTCATTACTGTGCTGTCTGAACTGTGCTGATGTTTTTTTCCTTCAAATGTTGTGTTGAAGCTTTAATGTTTGTTATTTTTAGCTGCTAGATTCTTCTACAGAAAGTTTAGAGATCTTCAAAAGTGCTTCATGAAATGTGATCTCTGCCTGGAAGTTTTGCTCTCTAAGGCTGCAGTTGTGAAAAGCTGAAATGAATGTTCAGTTGCACTGTGACTAGGTTAAGATGAGGCTGCTGAAAGGAAGTGTAACGCAGAGGGGAGAGTGAATTGTCATCTGAATAGTTGGAGAACTGGTGTATATCTTGTGATTTTGATAAACAAAAGCACAGGTTTAATTTTTATGTAGTTGAGTATCAGAGATTGCAGCTCTCAACTGCAACTTCTAACTTTTTTTCCAGCATGTAGTCCTTGATGACAGTATGTGCTGTGATGTTGAAATCCTGCTCAGGCTTACTATGTTTACAACTTAAGAACTACTGCTGCCCCTCCACTGTCTTGTTCTTAAAGCTCTTAAGACAAACAGTATCACCTTTTGCCTCAACTTGGAAGAGACTTTGGTGTTGTAAAGAGTGCTGCAGGAGTTGCCTCAGCTCCCCCAGATTAAATAAGAAAGAGAGTAAAATAATTTATTTTGCCCGTGTGATTACTTTAGTTTTGGTTTGTTTGTTTGTTTTGTTTTTGTTTTTCCTTAAAGAGCTTGATTTTTGCCATGTTCTTGAGCAGACAGCACATATTGCCAACAAAAAGGGTAGATGATTGCTAGCTATGTCTGTGTATATCTTTTGTGCAAGCATTATGTGTACATGTTATGGAAGTGAAAATGCACTGTGCTGAGTGAATCTAAGAACTGTTAAACTCTCAACAGAAGTGTCTCTAAGCGATTTGACGAAGTGCAGTCATTTTTAAACCACACCTGTATTTAATCAGATTACAAGTAGAGATAAGTCCTAATAGAGTTTGATTGTACTGGTATTTTAAAACTATTATGGTAGTTAGTAAGTAGTTATTGTGTTATTTTTACTTATGTTTAGTTCATTACAAGAAATATTCTGAAAAGATATTCTACATCTGTTGTTTTATTCTTTCACATTAATGATATTTTAAATGGATCCAATATTGTGATTTTGCATAGTCTTTGTTTCTGAATATTGTTTCAGGGATTTTTTTGTTCCTAGTTCTGAATATTAGTTTTGAGATATTTTGTTCCTTAGGGGACTAACAAAGGGAAAATCACAGAATATCCCCGCGTATTAGTGTAACTAGTGAATTAGAAATAGTCACAGTCTGTTGGAGAACTTAGATGTATGTAAGATATGTGATCTTGTTTGAGACAGGTATTTAATTATCATTAAACACTCATTTTGCAGGTTCATGAGACCTTTGAGTGTCAGGAATGTGACAAGAGATTTATTTCAGCTAACCAGCTAAAACGCCATATGATAACTCATTCAGGTAACATATTAAAATGACACAAACCTATGTATGTGTGGGTGATATATTTAGCATATATTCAGTTTTACATTAATCACTTAGAAATAGAATGTTTGGCGTATTCTATGTTGTCCTGGGCTGTTCAAGCAAATCTCATGTTCCAAGGAAAACATCTAAGTTATTGTTTGTAAGCCTTTCAAAATTCCAAGTGTAATGCTGAATACGTTCTTCTATTGCTGCTTTGTCAAGATTCTATTTTGTGCTATCTGGGGTACGTGATTTCAGCTACCTGGGATGGGGAAAAAGATTGTTGCTTGGCGTATAGAGGCTGTGAAGAACTGCTGAGTGGGATTTTATGTTAAAAAAAAAAAAGAGGATGGGAGCTGGGTTATGCTGTCAGCCAGAGATCTGTGATAAAAGGGCAGATATGTGTATATATATATGTGGGCTCATGTGCACAGAATTATCATTCAGAGGAAAATGTATCATTCCCCACACCATTTCGTAGATGACACAAGTACCTTATTATGCCTGTCCTCCTCTGCCAGAACAGATCACTGTGAGCAGGGAGTTCCCTGTCCATAAGCTTGGCAGCAGGACACAAACTGGCTCTGCCAGAATTTCTGATCACTGCAAATCTAGTGTTTCTATTTCTTTCATCAGCGGTTAGAAACATCAGCCGACACAACGGAAACACAGGCAGTGTTGTCTCATACATTGACATTTAAAAATGCAGGTTTTTGCAACTGCACAGGCTTGTAAATAAATACTTTTTTTTTTTTTATCAGTCCACACCAAAAGTTCATTTCTCATAACGTAATCTATATTTCAGGGCTCTTAGCTTGCTTTTGACACTTTTGGATGAGTGTTAATGTAGTTAAGTTGCAGTCACCAGTTGAAACACAAAGACTTTTTGCATAGCAACTTTTAGTTTTGGAAGCTAATATGTATATTGTTAATTAAGTTTTAAAACATTTAAAAACTGTCATGCCCTCCTTCACATTTCTAATCTGGAAACAGTGTTTTCCTCTTTGAAGTCATTCTCTTTTGATTTAAGCTAATTAATCAGAATTTAGTTTTAGCAATGATTATTGCAAAGAATGTGCCAATTTCTTTAGATACACCATGGCTCATCTTTTGTGAAGTGACTTAACTGTCTAACATAAAGGGCATTAGATGTCTTTCTAATTGGTTTAATCTTAATTGGGTTGACTTAATTGCAGAAATCTCTCTGAGGAGATGACTGTCTCTGCCTTTCATCTTCTCCCCCTGTATAAACAGGAGATTAAATGTCCCCCACTCATTTTCTGCAGAAAAACGCCCCTACACCTGCGAGGTTTGCAATAAGTCCTTCAAACGACTTGATCAAGTGACTGCACACAAAATAATACACAGTGAAGATAAACCTTATAAATGCAAGCTTTGTGGAAAGGGATTTGCCCACAGAAATGTTTACAAGAATCACAAGAAGGTAAAGCACTCTGCTGTTGTTGTTTACAGATCTGCCAGCCTCAGATTTGCAGATTTTTTTTCTTTTAAAATGTTGATCATTAAGCTCTGGCATGCTTATAAACATGGGAGTAAAGTATTGAAAAATGTATATATATATATATATATAGATATATATATATTCTAGTGAATGTTGTTATAACCAAAAACTCAAGATAAGATATGAGTTCCAGATAAAGCAAAACAAGCAAACAAAAAAAGGGAAATTAGAGGGAAACCACAGTTGCTTGGTTAAAAACATTAAATACTTTTCCATTTTGACTTTCCCAGTATTTTTTTTTTTTACATTAAGATATCAAATTAAATTTTTATCTGATCTAAAATGTATTCAATTTTAAATTAAAGAAAAAAAAGATAGTATTTGAGCAAAACAAATTTTAGTCTAGTTGTAGTCATTCCTCACTGTTGGACTATTTGACCAAATTTTCATAGTGCCTGCCATCAATTTTAACTTGAACTTACATTTTTAATGGCAAGTCTGTATCCATGACTGCTGTTTCAGAATTAATAGACAGAAAAAACCCCTCTAGTTTTATGCCGAGTATTTGGCACTATTTTTATTTTTATATTTTTTATACTCCCTCTTTTTTTTTACCCCTCTTGCTGAAACTGATATACCCTTACTTAGAAGTCTTTTTCAGTTTGGCTCATGTTGTATTCCATCTGGGATTTTGGCACAGGATCTTTACACCATCTTTTGCACTTTCAGCCATAAATCATGTAAGAATAATAATAATGCTTCTCATAGGGTGAAATGGTGATGATGGTCTAAAAGAGAAAGCATGGAGAAATCTGCTGAAAGACAAGATTAGCTCCCATATATGCCATGGTATATGCTATCTTGTTTTAGAGTTATTAATAAAATGTGGCAGAATCTCACAAATTGGATATGTTCTAAGGAAATACATAGAATATTATCTGGAAAGATAGTGCTATATCTTCAATGAATAGTTGTAACATATTTCCTTAGGTTAATTTGCAGTTGATGACTGATACAGAATTTTGGCTGAGAACAGACTTCAGGCTTAAGTATGAATAATGAGCAAACATTTTGACCCAGTTCAGTATTCAAAACAGCTTCACCACTAATATAAGCAAGGACTGCATACGAGAATGTTGCAGAATTGGTTCTTGTGTCTGACAAGGATTAGAGGCTTCACTTAATGGAAGAAATAGTAAAATTTATACAAATGTAGCAAGTACCCAATTTTGACAGAATTCTTCAAAGCGTGTTGGAATACTTATTTCCTGAACCTATCTGCCCATGGTACTGGCTGTGAATCAACCCTGAAAGAAACTTTTACCTGCGTTTATATACATAAACAGCTGTGCATATTCATCCATCCACAATTAGTTCTTTGATTGTGCTTGCTGAACAAAGAGATGAGCCTGAGAGATGGGAGATGGATGTAGATTTCCTGAAATGCTTTTCTGAAACGCCTATCTCTACACTCAGTATCAAGATTTTAAAGATATCAACTAGCATAACTAGGCACCTAGATTTGGGCTAATCTGGCTCTCCCGTTTTTAGTCCCCTGATTACCTTTAACAGAGTAATCAAGGAGAGATAGTAGATAATGGAGGACATTATTTATATATATTTATATAGAAAAAAAATATATATATATACACAAATAAAGCTTAATGTGCAAGTCAAGTATGTGGAGTTTGAGATGCAAAAACAGTTTAAAGTGCCGTGATTTTGGGAGGGCTATACTACTGCAAGGGGTAGAGAACAAGAGTTCTGTTGCTTGGTCACAGATAAGTCGAATGAGTAAGAGCAGAAATTTAATTCTTTATTGATTATTTTTCTTCCATGTATTTCTGCTACTCAGGTTTTTAATGAATCTTTAGATGTGTATTCCTTTAAGCCCACACTCTGGTTTTTTTTTCTTTTGGAGGAAGAAAAAATCAGACTGAATAATTAGACTACTTTCAGAATACAGTGACTGTGCTGGTAACAGGGAACTTTGCACTAGGAATGGTGGGTATTGTAGTTAAAAAAAGTTAAATCAACAGTGTTTGACAGAAGACAAATTTTCAAGTTTGATAGCATCACACTTGTAAGATCTCTTAAGATATTACATTGTTTTTTATATTTTATTCATAATAAGAAACAGGATATGCATTTTGTACCTTTGAATTCTTGTTGTTTGAGATGGAAACTTGTTGCTGTTGTTTGCTACTCCTTTATGGAAGCTAATTTGATTTTTTTTTTTTACTTTGAAAGTATCAGAATCAAAATGAAATTTGGCTCTCACAACATGTATTTTTAAATCTCTCTCAAAGTGCAGAGGAGATTAGGTCCTTGCATTTCACAGGATCTTGCTGGAGGATAGACAGTGGGTTAGCTATGAGAGCATCTACTCTTTCAGTAGAGCACTGAAATGTAAACCCTAACTTGGTACTCATTGCAGCCTTGCAGGTGTGGATCTGAGAGGCAGGAACTGTTATTGCCTTTGTGGTAGTTCTTCAGTGTACTGCTGCTGCAGGCAAGTACTACACTGCTCTGTGTAGGTGCATGTGCAAGTTTGCTTTGTCACTTGCTTGAAGATGTCAGTGCTGAGAATTGTTATGCAGGATGAAACTAGTTCAGATGTATTTTGAAAAAGCTCAGACTAAATGTCTGAGTGAACATGGGAAGAAAATTATTTCATTTTTTCTGGAAATAATAGTATAAATAGCATTATAAAATAATAGCTGAAATTAGGAGATGGGCATTGTGTTACAGATAGAGTCATTTTTCATCCAGGTCAGGCTGAATGAAGGTACGTCTTCTATGCCGTATAATTCAGGTTACTTCTGTACAGGACAATGCTAAGTTCTTCTTCCATCTGCTCCTTTGCTATGTATAGAGAATGAATTCAGAGAATAAAATATGAGCTATGACAGTGAGAAGAAGTTTGTCACCAGACACGGGATTTTAAAGGGTTTACTGTTAATCCAAGGTTATTTGGTCTTGGGGTGCATGATGAATTGAAACAATTGCACTCCCTCATCTTCTCTATTGGGAATGGGTAGCCTTGGGCTGGGTTTAAACTTTTACAGATGCTATTATAGAAAAGGCTGCCATGAGATATTCCATAACAACCCATTCATAGTTACTTCGATCATACAACTGTCCAAAAAGTGCACATGACCTCTTAGTTTAGTACAGTTTCTCATGATAGATGTCAGTGTCTGCACTGTTTCCGAGTGAGCATAATCCAGCAACTACAATTTCTATACCTTTCAAAATACTGTAATCACTGTCCAAGAGAAAACAAGGAAATTTAAAAAGAAATCATTACTCTATTTTCAAGTATTTAAGTGGAATTCAAAAATTATGTTTTTCTTCTGCCTAATGAATATTCAAGTAGAGGGAAATGTGTAAATTGATGTTGGTGTTTTTTTTGGCTTTATACTGTTGTTCATAGTCCTGCTGGTATTTTAACAGTGAAAAGATTTATTCAACAATTTGGACCTGCTCTAAAGGAGATACATCAATTTTTGTTTTGTGCTTTATTTTCCTTTCCCCAGCTTGATCGAAAGGTCTGATGAAATAGTAGCAGAAGATAATGGTATTTTTGTGGTGTAGATATAATCTTTCCCATCACACTATGATTATAAAGAGTTGCAGTACTGCATCCAAACATTTAATTCATTTCAAGAATCAGCTTGCTACTGATTTACAGTAAAAGCTTTAGACAGTTTTGAAAACTGTCTAAAGTTGGTTTTCAGTTGTAGAACATCAAGTTACTGAAACTAAGTGCAATATTGGCAATATGTACTGCTTATATCCCGCTCTGAATCAGGTCATAAAATGAGAATTCAACTCAGATTGTTTAGTATGACCACCTTCCTTTATGAATTCTGATGCTGTAGACTTTAGCAAATCTTATTTGAGTAGAAGACCATTCTAGAATACTTCTTATATGAGAACGTCTTTTTTGTATTCAAAGCCAGATCAATCTACTGCATTTTACAAGCTGCTGGTAGGGCCCTTTTCTGAAAATAAAATCACATATATAATTGTAGAAGTGTGGACTAGTCTATTGCTTTGTATTGCTATGTACGTATTAATTATGTAGCTTAAACCCAAGCTAATCTGTGTGTGCACTGTATGCCTGCTTCCCAGATATATACATATCCTATTATATAGAAAATTATATGTATATATTTAGTGTATGATGACTCTTCAAGCAGCTTTTAGTGAAATTGTTAGCTGTATTTTGAGATCTAATGTAAGCTTGACAAGTATACTTAGCCCACCTTGTAGTTTCTATAGTTGATCGCAAACTTGCATAACTGAATGAAGAGTGAAGAGCTGTGGTGCTACGCATCTCAAGATTTGCCTTGAACATAGAATCCTAGAATATCTTGAGTTGGAAGGGAACTATGCAAGGATCATCGAGTCTAACTCCTGGCTCCTGAATTTTTCCCACCATACTCTTAGTGGAAGCCATCTCTTTTCTGGAACCTGTCAGTAGGAAAAAGGTGGACAGTATCAGAATTAATATGCTTGTTTGCTGATATACCTCTGCTCATTACGATTTTCATTGCTTTTTGTGATATATGTAGCTTGTTTCTGGACTGGTCACAAATAGAGCAAATGAGTTTCATCTTGTTTGTGGGTATGACTAGTTAAACATTTGTAGTGAAGTTCAGAAATACGGATGAATTCTTTTATTTTGGTCAAAAGACTAGAACTGGCAAGAGAATGCTAAGAATTTATATACAAATGACTGCACTCTTCAGAACTATCACTCAAGTGGTGAGTGTTCTAAAATAGGGCATTTTTTAAGTAAATGACATGAACTTTGCGCTCGTGAAAGGTGCCAGATTGACAGCCCTAGAGACTGAACCCTTCTATTTATCCACAGAACAGGTACAGCACAGACATCAGCACTGCGAGCTTCCCCACAGTGTTTCGTCAATATGTCTCAACCCTGTTCTGGAGGAACCACCTGTTGAGGTGAGAAGGTAGTTCAGTCTCTTCATGTCCTGTCAATCCTTGGTCTGACCGCTGAGACTGCCAATCAGGGTATCAACTAATGCAGATTGTGATGTAAACCTCCAAAAGCTGGACTGAAACTTTCAGCATATTTTTTATAATGCATAATATATTCCACACGTTTGACTGTGCTCCACTTGATTTTTTGTTTTAAGTAACATCGACTGGACTCAAGTAATTTACTTCGAGTCTAAAACCTCTGTATAACATTGCAAGTACTCTAATGTTTTTCTACTGCTGTTTATGTGAGAGGACATTTGTGTTAAAATCAGTCTGAGTTTGAGGCCAGGAGTCTACATCTAAATATTTGTGCTGGCTTCTCATAGTCCTTTTTTCTCCTTATTTTGAAGGATATCTCCATATGTCTTATGGTATCATGAATTTTTCTGCCATAAGCAGAAATGTATAATATACATATGTATTACATCAATATTTACTCTTAACCTACAAAATGAATTTGTTTAATATCATGCGTATTATAAAACACTGTCCATCCCCATTTGCCCTTGGCACTATAGTTACCCCTCAAGGTTCTTGTTAGCTAAAACAATGTTCAGACATGGATGCTTTAAAAACATTATTCCCTTAATGAAAAATTGTAGGAAATTAAGTAGATAAGAGATTGTACAGATGAATTTACTATCTGAACTTACTATGGGGATAGAACCAGGGAAATAAGGAGTGGAAAAGGAGAATTTACAACAGTAGGTTGAAGCTGGATGTTTCCCAAGCTCCAGAAAAGAAATGTGCTTCAGCAACTCTGCTGTTTGTGAGATTCATCCAATCTTAGCCTTTTCTTTTATTTATGGCTTTGAAGGCTCTTTCTACTTATCTCTTTTTGAAGTCTATTGATGCTGCTTCTTAGCTATGGTATATTTTTGCTACAGCAAACAAAAATCAATTCTGATGCTTCTGTGCACTTTTTATTTCTTTTTAAACATGAAGCTGAAATAAAGATAAGCAAGAGTAGTCATATGATTTAAGAAATTTTTGCTAAATTTTAGACTACTGTCCTGAGATAGATCAGTTCTACTGTTAAGTGAAAAAAATGCAGGGTTTTGTGTACATGTATTTTTATATGTTTTTTCACGTTAGAAAATATTTAAGGTCAATATTAGTTCTGATACAGAAATGAAACTGAACTTTAAAGTTTTCCTTCTGGTTATTCCTTAATTTTATTTCTATTTACATACAACATTTCTGAGGTGGTACATTAATTCAGAGCCAGAAGCCTTTGCTGGCTTTTAGGGTTCAGAATAATGGCATAAAGATTGTTTTAATTTTCTGTCCCCTGATATTTCAAATTGTTAATATATCCCCCTCCTGAATTCAGTTTGGAAAATTAAGTATAATTACTGTAATGACTGCTAATTGATTTCTCTGAGCCTTTCTTCTGACATGTTGTCTTTCATCTGCAGACCCATTCTGAAGAGAGACCATTCCAGTGTGAGGAATGCAAAGCTTTGTTCCGAACTCCATTCTCTCTACAAAGACATCTACTAATTCATAACAGTAAGTGCTAAGTCACAGAGAAAAAAGAGCAGTTCTCTTGTCTGACAGAGGAAAAAATAGACCCCTAGCACCTTGTTCCAATACACAACTTGCTATATTAAATGAGACTTAAAATTCAACTCTATTCAGTAGGAATTAGAAAATTCGGAGCAAATTCAAACCTTGCCTTTGAATGCACTTAAATGCAAATACAAATGCACTGTGGAAAATTGACCGTGGTTTGAGATCTGATTATAAGATTTTCTTCTGCATTAAATGTGTTAGTATCCTTCATTTTAAGAAATGGAAATTGGGAACAAATATAAGTAGGTGTCTTCTCAGCTTTTGTAGGTGATCCATTTCAGAGCTGGAAACTGAAATTGTCTCTCCTGTGCCAGTCCCAACTTCACTATATGCTAGTGTTGCCTGCCAATAGTGTAGAATTAGCAGCCCAGAAAAAATTCTGTGGCCATTTTCCATTTTGGCTAATGTGTTCATGGCATTCTGTACTGTACTGTTATGTGCAGATTTATTTTTTGTGGAATTTTCTCAATATTTACAGAGCTCTGAATGACCATTCAGCCATGTTAGCGTTAGTAATTGAAATAAAAAAAAAAAAAAATTACTGATCTAAAATCCTGGTAGCATAGAAGACAGTGCTTTGATTTGAGGAATATTTACATTGGTTGAATTAAAAAAAAATAAACTTACATTTTTTGATCCAGTAGAACTTTAATTCTAGAATTAAAGAAGAATTGAGAGAGAGAGAGAGAGAGAGAGAGAAAGAGAGAAAAAGAGTGAGAGAGAGAGAGAGAGAGAAAGAGAACCATCTCCTGCAATAATTGGAGGAAGACACCAGTGCCAAGTATAGGGGGAGGATGACTTCCCTAGTCCTGCTCATCACACCATTTCTGATACAAGCCAGGATGCCATTGGCCTTCTTGGCCACGTGGGCACACTGCTGGCTCATACTCAGCCAACTGTCCACCAAGGTCCATTTCTATCAGGCAGCTTTCCAGCCACTCCTCCTCAAGCCCGTAGGGTTGCCTGGTGTTGTTGTGGCCAAAATGCAGGACAAGACATTTGGCCTTATTGAAACTCATTTGGTTTACTTTGGCCCATCGCTATCTAGGCTCTTCTGTAATGCCTTTCTACCCTCTGGCAGATAAGACGTAATTTCCTTTAATGGAAATTACTTCGATATTTTCTTTTGTTAAAGCACTAAAAAATTTAATGTTATTTAGTAAAAATAGTAATGACTTCACTTCATTTGTAAAGTAGTTTCATATTTCCAAGACGAGAACTGAAGAGGTTCACTAGAAACTTAGAAGTGTTAATCCTCCACATAGCAGCATATTAAATTGTATCTCTGTTGACCTTAAAAATTTTTCTGGATTGCTAGACTGCAAGTACTTTAGGGCGAGACAACTTATTCTAGCATCTTTTAGCATATTTCAGTGTCATCAAAGACAAAACAGCTTTTGTTATCAAAGTGAAAGGGAGTAAGTGTTTTGAGAGTTGGAGAGAAGAGGGCAATTTTGGCTGATTTATAGTGGACAGAAATATTTTTTCTAGGTTTTATAATGTCTGTGGGTATTTGTTGCACCACTGTGTTGGTAAGCCTTACTTATAGGTATTACATCTATGAATTGTGATAAAGAAATAATGGTTTTGAGTGCCTCAACATGCAGCATCACATGGGCTTTAATATGCAGCATACTGATATCAATTTGCATTCATTTTGGACTAGAACTGTGATTATTTTAGGATTTGTGGATCTGTATCAAGAAAATAAGTTATCTTTCTCCATATATCATTGCTACTGGAAAAATTAGTTAATGCATATGCAAGTCTGTGTCTTACTCGGATCTGGAGGCTGCAAGTCAGAGCTCTGTCTTGAAAAGTAAGAAGCGAGCAACAGCCCTGAGATTATGGTTGTCTTTTTTTTTTTTTTTTTTTTTTTTTTTTTGTATTAGAATTGCTGCCTGGCAAGTTTTTTGGGATATAAAAAGCCAATTTCAAGTTTAGACTGTTACTCTGGTTATAACCCTAAGCACATTGATTTCTGAATGTGTGCCACATTGCAGATAATTTAATCTTTAATTCTTTAATTCTTCCTTTCTCAGAGGTATTTAATTTAATTTACAAAGTAATATTAACTTTCTGTCATAATCTTAACCTTACAGTTTGAACAGTAACATGGCTATAGCATTTTTCATCTTTTTTATGTGAGTTTGTTTATATTGACATGAATGAGAAGCAAGTATTTCTTATTTTGAGAATTCCTCTGTATTCAGAAAGATCTTTCTTACCATTTAAGTTTCAAATGAAGTCTATTACTTCTTTATTTTTTTTTTTCATACAGTTTATTACTGGAGGTGCTGGAGAATAAAACCATGTTCCTTTTCACTAGTAGCCATTTCATCCTTAGCTATACTTAATCTCACATTTCTGGCTATCTTATTGTCAGAGCTACTTTCTACTTTCTTAATTTCCCTATGGTATTTTTACTTCATTTGAGATTATCTTTCTGTTCTCAGGATGTAGCTCTTCAATTCCATTAATTTTATGAAATGATAAGCATTAATGTACTTACACAGAAAGCTAGTATGTTCAAACCTGATTTTCTTCTTCATAAGGTGAGAGGACCTTCAAGTGTGATCACTGTGATGCTACTTTCAAAAGAAAGGACACCTTAAATGTTCATATTCAAGTTGTACATGATGGACATAAGAAATACAAGTGCGATCTCTGTGACAAAGCTTTTGTGACACCTTCAGTCCTGAAAAGTCATAAAAAAGTGAGTAAAATCAATTATTTCATACTTATTCCTTCCATAAGTGTAAGCCTTAAGTGTAATGGAGTAACTAGTACGTTATTTTCAGTGCACGATTAAGACAAATACTATGCATTATTCCACCAATCTGTTTTCAGAATTGAGGGTAAAATGTAGAGGAGTCTTGACTTGCCTCTCCAACTTTACCATATCTTATAGATGTGGGAACTAATGCTTATCTTTGTATAAATCTTCCTTCAACTGCAGCAATAACATGTACCATGTGAAAGAAGGGTTTTATAATCTAATGAAGAACTTTGTATCAGTTCCTTTTGTTAAATAAAAAAATATGTATATATATTCTTTCTATGAGAAGGTCATTAAAACTCCTCTAAAAAGCTGTCATGACTATAAGGAGAAATTATTCAATAGGCTGATAAATCTTCAATTTAGAATTGGAAAGTATTGCATAAAAAGTAAGGAGAATCTTTGCATATAACTTACTTGAAGGTGGTCTTGCTTTTGACCGTAGAAAGTGGATGGGAGAATTTGAAATAATTCTTTTTATAAAAGGCAGTTTAGCCCTAAAAGGTTGATTTGAAAAGACAGGCTCAGTTTATGAGCTTTTTTATTAGCTTATTTAGTGACAAGCACAATATCCTTCTTATGATTAGTTCTGTAAATACAATCTGATTCTAGCATTTATTATAAACGAGATAGGATCCAATATGCAATGTGTATTGACTGAAATCAGTGAGAACTTGCACTTTGGAGCATTGCTGTCTATCATGTTTCAGATGAACTGATGTCTGTGATTCATTCATATGAAAGTGTCACAAATCATTTACACAAATCTCCACAGAGACTTTTTGAAGCTCCTGTTCAGGTTGTCAGTGGAAAAAGCTGTACTACATTTGGCAAAACTCTGAACTACGTTTAATAATGAAGTAAAATTCAGAGAAATTACAAGCTTTTAAAAATAGTCCCATTTCAGTTAATTTTATTTAGGTGATCAAGTTTCTGTTTTCTAGTTTATAAACTGCTATCAGAGAAATTAATCTGAAAAATGGGTTTATTATTATTTTAATGATGAAAATATACGAGGATGAATTAGAAATTTGTTATAACTATTGAGGAAATTGTAAACTTATGAACTATGAAAACATTTTTTATATATTAATAATGAGATTAGTTTAGAAATTTAAGAAGAAAATAAAAAGAACATTTTAATTTCTTTAAATCTCTATCTGATATGGTGGAATGACATGACTAATGGTTGTTGGAGAGAATAGTGGTCAATGTGAAATACAGTTAAACTGTTCCATATTCTACTAATTGAAGGCAATGCTGTAACTTTCAGTCTCATCTTTCGTCACTTCATGTAGACTCACACAGGCGAAAAAGAAAAAATTTGCCCATATTGTGGACAGAAATTTGCAAGCAATGGAACACTGAGAGTTCATATTCGAAGCCATACAGGTACAGTGATACTTACTATAAGGAACTGGAAAAAAATGTCTAAATTGAATACCAAGATATCTGTAAGTTTGTCTAGAAATGCTGAGCTTATCTAGAAACAGAAATTTATAGGTAGGCCCAACAGCCTTTTTTTCAGACATTTTGCTTGCATAATGTGTAAAACCAGGTTCTGTTTTGAACTGTGATTATATATACACATATATGTGTTTATTTATATGAACATTCAGTGTGAATTCATTCATTTCTATGACTTCTGAGGTGTTTTGAAACTCCAGACTCATGTTATTGTATCTTCTGACTTTATTACAGCCTACATGTTAGCCAAATTAGAATGTTTTACTTCTAGAACACTTTAGCTCCAAATTTATTTTCAGTTGCAGCATCTGAATCATTCTGCTGTTCTGTTAGTATTCCTAAGTTTGAGTTGTGTAACTTGTTTCATATTGTCACCCAGATTGTGCTGCTGTTTCCTTATGTGCTTCTGTAAACACACTGAAAACAAATTAGTCGTGTCATTTACATAGGTTTCACTTTCTGAGCTTATGTTTTCATTTCATATAATTGGCAGGCAAATGAAAGGAGCCGCTTTGTGATAATTTGTTTCCAACATAAAATTGTGTAGATTTGCTTTTCGCAGCCAAAGCATCTATTAACAAGTAGTCTTTCTGTGACATTCCATTTACTTCATATAAGCATATTTGGTTTGCAGGAAAATGACAGAATTGGTGTTTCTAATAACTCAGCTTCATGTGATTTTTGTCATAAGTATTAATCACTTCAGTGTATCAGGACCACGTGTTGGGATTACAGGTTTTTATTAGTTTGATGTATTTTATGATTTTGGATTTGACTACCACTAACAAATTTTGTGATCCTGTAGTCAATTTAAAAGACTAAACTTCAGTTTAATAGTTACCTCTTCATCTTTGCTAAATTTCATGCTAGGAACATTTTTCACTCATGAAAACTTTATAAAACATACTTATGAGCCTGCATATAAGCTCAGGTGGTTAGTGTATAATGTAATCATAGACACAAAAGACCCTGAAAGTCAAAGCTGATAAGACAGAACCACTGTGCAACAGTTCTCTCTTCTGTCTATTCCTCTTCCTTATGCTTGTTCTTTCTTCTAGAACTGCACTTCCGCGACCTCTTTCAAAGTCCTCCCTTCATGTTGTGTCTTTTCTGTCTTCTATCACATAAGCTGTTATTTGTTCTTTTTTTTTTTTTTTTTGACTTCCTCAAGATGCACAGAAGAGGAAAGAGAGGAAAAACAAACATGAAAACACAAAATACCATTCATGGAGCATATGATATGAGAACTGAGAGAATTCTTGGGTACTGTGCAATCAGAAGGACCAGCCACTTACTCACTTGGGCTGTATACATTAAAGAACCACGTTTTCAGGAGTGAAAGGAAGCAATCTGATAGCGCTGGTAGTCACTCTGCCCATCAGTCCAGATTTCTAGGATCACAACTGCCTCAATTCCAATTATCTGAGTTTTTTTGTTTGTTTGTTTTGCTTTGCTTTTTGTTTGTTTGTTAGTTTTTTTGAGGATTATTTTGTTACTTTATTTATGGATGTTTCTTGCCATCTCATGAGCAAACCATTAGCCTTTAATTTTCTTGTTTTTACGTACTAGACTTCCATGGAAATTAGAACTTATATATTTTTTTGTTTTGTTTTGTTTTCTTTCTCATTTCATAGGTCCTTTTCTGAAACCTTAGGTACAGTTTCTGTGTACTGTGCATGTTACACATGAGTTTGCACAGTAGAGAGGCTCTAGTTTTACAAGCTGATAGTGCAGATAGATCTCGGGAAAAGTTTTATAGATGTCCAAGTGAAAATGCTTTTCACACATATTCTCCTACCAGTTGCATTTAATGTTTCACTGCTCTCAAGCAGATTTTTCCAAAATTTGGAGTTATGCTAAGGTGAGTTTAATGAAACATCACACCGGAGAACTCTAATCTTGGGAGGCTTGCAACATTTTTAACCACTATTATACCAGAAGCTGTAAACAACGACGTTTTAAACTTTGGAGAAGTTGAAAGGCACTGGGTTTTTTTATTATCTTTGTGGATTAAATATGGTGGGAGGAAGTTCTGTGTCAGGAGATGGTGCATGTTTCAGTTAGTGGAATATCCATTCAATGTGATAGTACCTCATGAAGAATCTCACTGCAAATAAAAATGAGGAAAACTTTCAAGTCCCCTATATAAAAAGCTTAAAGTACTACTTTTAAAGAGAACTACAAATTAAAGAAAATATCTTGTTGAATTAATTTATAATGGCCTGCAACTGATCCTTTCCTCTTCCAGTCCAGTTCCTATATTGATGTCAATGTGATTTTTGTTAGAGGGATTTTTTATTTGCATCCTTCACTCTAAAACTGATACGCATTTTCACATATATGTATTGTGATGTCATTCTCATACAGCTCCTGATCATTTCATGGTAATTATGATGAAAGGTGGAAAAAAGGGAGCAGGAGGAAATTGCCTCTAAGTTTTGACTTCCCAGTGGTTAAAAAAATAGTAATCAGTAAATTATACAGTGCAGTACTTTATACTAAGTTTAGTGAGAAAATGCCTCTGTAGATTTGTGTTTCACTTCAGAAGGAGAGGTTTTGACTTGTCTTGTGGCTGAAGACTTCAGCTAACTTGTTTGAGATCATAATGTATGCAGATAATTTACTTTGTATGCAGACACTTTGCTTTAGTGTGAGAAAACTGTGCTGTATTCAGGGGATCCGAGTGAAGCATAGCTTTCTGAAGGATGTTTTGCATCATTTCAAAAGAATGTCAGGATAGTTGGTAAAAGAAATTAATATTATCTGGAAATAGTACAAAGAAAGTACTCATTTGAAGGCTTTTAGTAATAAAGTTATCAATATTGTGAAAATCGTTGACAACTTGTCAGGCTTTTTCAGAAAAGTCTTCATATCACCAGAAGAGAGCCACAAACTTGTTAAATTTAGGGGAATATTTGGTTTTGAAATGTCGCTGTGTTGAGTACCTCATACTCTTGGTATCTGTTAAAACTATCGATTTTAAATTACTGAATTCAAAACTGTGGACTCCTTTTTTTAGCCAGACTTCAAAGAATCACTTTTCATTCTTAGTAAGAAGTGAGTCAGCCACTGTCCATTTGCAAGAGATTATTTGTAAAGAAGTCTGGGGATAAGTTCTCAGTGCAGCTGAACAGTATATTCTAAGTGTAAAGACTGCAAAGAGCTTCATGTCTTAGAGATTAGTTTTGAGGTCCTACTGCAGATATTTGTATTATCGCATTTGCTGTGCATGTGGTAAGCTAGACTTTATTAGCTACTTTATATAAGAGGCTTTGTTCTGTGTTTACCAAATGAAACTAGGCAGAAGTCTTTTCATTCTGCTTTGGACTTGTACTTTTGTTATACTTAATAATCTATGTACAAAAAACCAAGCTTTTATTCAATACGCAGCACACGTTCCTAAATACTGTTAATCACAGATGGATGCATGCTTCTTCAATAAGCAATTTTCTTCCCTCTTTTATCTTAGAATAAGACTCTGTAAATGAGCCCTAACAGTACTTGGCCTTTTGCAGAAATTGAGATGGTTTGGGGTGAGTGAACATGTCTGCATGTGCATGTGTGGAGGGAAGTGGTTGATGTTTGCATCTGAACCTAGCATTTTGCTCTGTAATTCATCATCTCAATTTCCAGCCTTGGAATGACAGAGACAGCTCTCTGTAGGTCAGCTGAAACACTATAGCACATTCTCCCTCTGCTGTATCCTGTTGGTTTATGGCTTCTTAGGGTCAGAGGGAGATGGGGTTAATTCAGCAAAAGAATCCTCTGACTGTGATGTAAATTCCTTGGCTTGTTCGTAAGTTGTAGAAAAAATTCAATGGACTACTCCTTGGGCTGGAAGGCTGTGAGCTGGGAGGTTAATTATATGCTTAAATTTTCAAGCAGCTTTCAGTGCTAAAAGTTACTGACTGGTTTGTGCAGTTTTGCAGTTCCTTATGCATAGGTATTAAAGTCCTGTTAATTGCTGTCTTACATGTGTGTCTATGTGTGTGTATATATGTATTTGTGTATGTGTCTGTGCTATTTGTATACACACATTTTATCTGCCTGATACCAGCACTGATTCTTGCCTCATTAGTTGCATCCTAATCCCTTCCATCTTTGGGATGTAGCACATCAAGTTGTGGAACAATGAAAGTTGCAGTAAAGTAGTCAGTATTTGCAGGTTCATTTATTTTTGATCAAAGATAACTGAGTCTATTTAAACTGTAACTATCCTCTCCATGATATGTTTTTTCTATTCCATTACACAGGGACTAGTGTTAGGGATAGCTAATGATCATACATGTATTTCAGAAAATGCTTGAGCATTAAAATGTACGTGGCTATGCAGCCTTATTCTGTTTAGTTTTTGGTTTTTTTTTTCCCCATGGTATTTGTTCAAAGTCTGTTAAGACAGTTAAAATAATGATTTCACGTATCCTAAATGTTTTCTGAAAGGATTAATGTTTTCATTCTATACCTTTTTAGAAGTTACTTGATGTGTCATTCTTCCATATAGTATTCTCTGATATTTGAAAAAAAGTTGCTTCGTTTTTTTAAGAGTTGAGGTGGTTGTTGGAAATTAATTTCCATGTGCATGAATTAAAGGTAATACCACAAATTTACATGAAAGTATAAAAAATGATTCAGGCCATCAACTTCACTGTCCTTTGTGTCAACACAGCTAAGCTTACTTTTTAAAATTTCCATCCCCTTTATAAAAACTCTTTTAGAAACTCTTTGAAACATTTTATCATAATTGTCCCTTATAACTTTAGGTGCTTATTTGTTCTTGGAATATCTCTTGCTCTGCACTGACAGCGTGAAACAATCCAAACTTTACCATGGTAGTCACACTTCTGCAATTTGATTAATTAGACCATGGGAGCATATTTCAAATCATGTTTAATGTACAACTGTGTAAAAGTCTAGATCCAAATTTT